TCAGGACTTACAATCTGAGAAGCGTGATGTAGCCAGTCCTCTGCTGAGCCCAGCCTTCCAACCTCAGCCCCCTTACCTTGTAAGTATGGGCTGGTCTGACCATCCCCTCCCAGAGGAGCTCTGTAAGCAGGCAGCTGGGGGAAGGACAGTCTGCCTCTTCTGTCATTTACAGCTCAGCCTGTTTTCAGGCCCTTCCCCAGAAGAGTCAGGGCGTGTTGGCAGGAGGATTTGAAAGTAGAAGCCAGGAGGGGGTGGAATCTGAAGATGAGGGACCCCAGCAAGACTAGGGAATCCAAGACTGTTCTGGCTCTTGACACAGTGCAGCCTCTGCTAGCAGGAATTCATTTCTCTGAGTTACTTTGTTTTCAAACGACAAGCCTAGTGAATGGACACTAACACGATCCTGGACATCATATTCACCTTCTCTGTGAACGCCAGCCTCCCAAAATCCCTTAATCTCTTCTCTGGTGTTGTGGGTCTTAGATCAGCTTATTTAACCTAGCATCTTTCTAATACCCACGCTGTATACTTAAACCTGGAAAAACACCTTTCCCTGCTCAATCTTCTCTCAAATACAGAGCTTATCAATTCAGGGTAGGGAAAAAAAAAATCCTTCTCTGGCCTTAGGACACACAGACAAATCCACTTTGAAAAGAATGCCTACAGAGATCCTTACTGGGAAAGATGGATGAACTCTTATTGTGATATGGACTGTCAGAGAAAACGGTGGTATCCGAGTTCAGGACTACAACTGGCACACCAGACCCAGGATGGGGAGTACAGTTAAGAGGAAAAAAAGAAAAGAAGTAAACAGGGTGAGGCAGGGATGAAAGTTCTCCAAATAACTGTTTATATTGGAAACTTCTGTTTTGGAATAGCTTTATTGAGATAAAATTCACATACCATACACATTCCACCCATTTACAGTGTATAATTCAATGCCTTTTAGTATATTCAGAGTTGAACTACCATTATCACAATAAATTTTTGAAAATTTTTATCACCTCCAAAAGGAGCCCTGTACCCACTAGCCATCACCCACGTGCCCACCCCAGTCCTGGGCAACCATTAATCTCCTGTCTCTGTAGATTTACCTATTCTGGACATTTTATATAAATGAAATCATACAATATGTGGTTTTTCCTGTCTGGCTTCTTTTACTTAGTATAGTGTTTTCAAGGTTCATGCATGTTGTAGCATGTATCAGTACTTCATTCCTTGTCATGGCTAAATATCATTCCAATGTATGGATACACCACATGGTATTTATCCATTCATCTGTTGATGGACATTTGGATTGTTTCCATTTCTTGGCTATTATGAATAGTGCTGCTATGAACAACTGTGTACAAATTTTTATGTGGACATGTTTTCATTTATCCTGGGTATATACCTAGGAGTGGAATTGCTGGGTCATATGGTAACTTGATTTAACCTTTTGAGGAACTGTCAGACTGTTTTTCAATGTGGCTATACCATTTTACGCCCCCACCAGCAATGTATGAGGGTTCCAATTTCTCCACACTTGTTATTATCTGTCTTTTTGATTGAGGCCATCCTGGTTTCTATGAAGTAGTATCTTTCATTGTGGTTTTGATTTGCATTTCTCTAATGACTAATGATGTTAAATATCTTTTCATGTGTTTATTGTGTTTGTACACCTTCTTTGAAGAAATGTCTATTCAGACTGTCCATTTTTGAAATTAGGTTGTTTTTTTTTGTTTGTTTTTTTTGTTTCTTTAAATTAGGTTGTTTTTTAAAATATTGAGTTATAAGAGTTCCTTATATATTCTAGATACCTCACCAGATAAATGATTTGCAAATATTTTCTTCTATTTCATAAGTTGTCTTTTCACTCTCTTGAAGGAGTCCTTTGAAACACATATTTTAAAATTTTGATGAAGTCCAACTTATTTTTTCTCTTTTGTTATTTGTGCTATAGGTGTCATATCTGAGAAACCATTGCCAAATCCAGACCATGAAGATTTATTTTGCTTTTCCCCCCCAAGAAGTTTATAGTTCTACCTTTTAAATTTAGATCTTTGATCAATTTTGAGTTAATTTTTGTATATGGTGTGAGGTAGGGGTTTCATTCTTTGCATGTGAATATCCAAACATCCCAGCACACTTGTTAAAAAAACTATTCTTCCCCTATTGAATGATGTTGAACCTTTACCAAGAATCAACTGACCAGAGGGTGAGGGTTTATATTTCTGGACACTCAATATATATATATATATGTGTGTGTGTGTGTGTGTGTGTGTGTTTTGCCACGTCACTTGTGGGATCTTAGTTTCACTGCACCCACAGCAATGAAAGAGCAGAGTCCTAAACACTGGACCACCAGGGAATTTCCTGGACACTCAATTCTATTCCATCGGTCTATATGTCTATTGTTATTCTAGTACCACATTGTTTTGATTATGGTAGCTTTGTAGTAAGTTTTCAAATTGTAACACATGAGTCTTCCAACTTTGTTCTCCTTTAAGATCATTTTGGCTACTCTGAGTCCCTTGAATTTCCATAATATTGTGAGGATCAACTTGTTAATTTCTGCAAAGAAGTCAGCTGATATTTCTTATTGGAAATTGCTCAATACTTCAGAGTTTTAATAAACAATGAGATTTGTAAAACATTTATCTGTGATCTGTTTAGAACAGCATTTGAATTTCTTACTTCATTTAATTAATGACAGAATGTATAAAAAATAAAACTTTTATTGAGGGACATCTGAAGCCCAACAGAATCTTGCTATTAAAAACATGAACTATGTTTGTGGTACTATTTGTGAGGGAAACTTCCAGTTAAAGTACATGGGCTTCCCCTGGCTCAGTGGTAAGGAATCTGCCTACAAATGCAGGAGCCATACAAGATGCGGGTTCAATCCTTCGGTCGGGAAGATTCCCTGGAGGAGGGCATGGCAACCCACTCCAGCATTCTCGCCTGGGAAATCCCAGGATAGAGAAGCCTAGTGGGCTACAGTCCATAGGGTCACAAAGAGTTAGACATGACTGAAGCAACTTAGCATGCACGCATACAAACACACACACACAGTGACTTGTTACAATGAAATGTTCTACTCTCAAATCAGATCATCAAATCTCATCAACCTGATGGGAGATAGAAGGAAGGGTGGTACATGAACTGCCCCATGGCACAAACCCATGTCAGTTTCTATATGTGGAAACATAGTGATCGCATAGTATAGTAGTGTTAAAGAGTATAGTCTTAACAGTGAAAGTACTTGGTTTCAAATCCTAGCAGGGTAACCTTGCATAGGTTAATGTAAACGCCATAAACCTCAGTTTCCTCATCTATAAATGGGGATACTATCCACTTTGTTGCCTTCCAAAAAATAAATGTATTAATATAAGTAAAATATTTGGCAATTTGCCCAGCCATAGTAAGTGCTATGAACATAAAAAAGTGATAAGCCTCAGTTACTTTGAGTCAATCTAGATAAACAGTATAGTTGAAATCATAGGCCACAAGTCTGTATGACACTTGAGAAACTTGGAGTGAAGAATTTGGTGACACAGTACTGTAAGAAAGTGTTTAAGCTCCATCCTTTGTTTAGAAAGATAAAGAAAGTTGGAGAATATTTACACATGTTATCACAAAATTTAAGCTCTCCCCCTCACCCCATTTACTTAGTTGGTCTTCTTATCCTTAAAGACAAAGTGAGGGCCCGAAACTGGTTGACAAATCTGGTCCCCTGCCTGTTTTTGTAATAAAGTTTTCCTGGAACACAGTCACACCCATTCATTTACATATCATCTATACTGCTTTTGCACTACAATGGCAGAGTTGCACCGTGAGTAGGGTTGACTAGTCAGAAATCCAATGACTCAAGAGAGCCTCAAATATTTACTATCTGGCCCTTTACAGAAAAAGTTTGCCAACCCCCGTCCCAAAACATGAAGAAATCTTATTAAGTTGTCTACCTTTGCTTCCTCCTCGGCACTATGCAGGAAGTTGACATCTTCCCATCTTCCCCAAACCACCGAGTGTGTGTATAGCAACATAAAAAGGAGGCAACACTCAAGTGTAAAATAAACCAGTTTTCAAAATGCCAGAAGGGGGGAAAAGCTTTATAAATACAAAAAAAAAAAAATTATCAACATCGGTAAATAACAGGATTTGCCCTGCTTTACAATAATTTCTGTCCCTTGAACTGATTCCAACTTCAAAGACCCATTATCCTTCATTTTAATTCAAACGAGTTCTTTACAAAGAAGGAATGACCACGGAGCTGCTTGCTGTTCAAACAAGAGGGACCACAGTGCTCAAGATGGGGATGGCCTGGCAATCACATCAGTCAGTGCAAAATCTGCATTTTATTAAAGACATTTGGGAAGGTCCATTCAAAAATACATTGTGCTCAGTAAAAATTAACCATTTCATGCTGATAATTAAGGTTACCACGGAATAGATATTTGTATAATATTTACAGCAACAATAGAAATTTTACACAAGTTTAGAATGGAATACATGCCAGAAAAAACTTGATAAGATGTACCAACACATGATACAAAGAGTTATATAAACACTTTACAAATGGTTCATAATTAGCTTGTGAGGAATTTAAATATTCAATACTTTAAATTCAGCTTGGATTCAAAAATTAAAAAGGTTAACACCACGTCACACCCTTACCACAGTACAAAGTATGGAATTACACTTTTTATTATGGATTATAAAGTCTGTGCAATTAAGAATTTCAACTGATTCTTCATCTATCACAAATTTAGATGTTACATCACTCTGGCTTATCCCTATTTTTGTTTTCAGGCACAAGCAGGGTTTTCAAAGTCTCCCTGCCCTGTGTCTTCCCAGATACCCCCTTCAAACTTCCTAGAGATTGAAGAAGCTCAGAATAGTCTTCTAAATATATACAGAATAACTACCTGAATTCAAAATGGCACAAAGCAATTCTTGGAGATAGGAATTAGGGGCAACTATTTTGTTTGGTTTGTTTCTGTTGATCAATCCACATTTACATGAGAATTTACTTCTTACAATCACAGCATTACCCCTCCAGCCTGACTCAATCAGTGACCAAGGAGGAAACAAGGAGAGGGAAATGGACTGAGTTGACTATCAATTGTATATTAATACTTCTAGTGAAAACAGATTTTATACAAGCTTTACTTTCCATTTTGGAAAATCTAAGCTGTGGAGAACTTAAAAGTTCTCCAGAAGGAAAAGCATCATTTTTTTTTTCCCTTGAAACTGAATGTGTTATAACTGGAGCTTTTGACAACTCTGGCAATAAATACTTTAATCCCCCAATGGGGACAAAAGTCAAGGCATCTACCTTTTCTATTCCTGGGTTTTGTCTGATTAGCCCTGAAGCAGAGCACTGGGACAAACTTGTCTATGCCTGAAATGAATCACATCAGGCTTTTGGGAATGTAAAATCCCAAACCAAAGGAAGTCCTGAGGAATTCTTAGCAGTCTGTCAAAATGGAGGGGATGGAGGAACAGATAAGGCCTCTTTCTCCCTGATACTCTGTGCTGGAAGAGTAGCGAACAAGGCAACTTCTAATCTGCATACAACATGGAGACCGATTTTTAAGATTCCAAAGGAAGATCAAAATACAACCCAAGGATCAAATGGGGTTCAGAGAGCTTAACCTTGTGGGTAATGAAGGGCCTTAGAAGAGATACCAGTTTTACTGCTGTAGTTCTCTGGCCCGAGAAATCCAACGTGTAGACTATTACAACTTTTTTCTGGCAAAATAAAAGACAAACCTCCCTCAAACTTGGGAGTAAACAGTTAGTGAATGAAAGCACAAGGCAGGTCGTGATTATATTTAATAGCCTATAGGAAATACACAGAAAGGTGGGTCAGTGCCTGGAGTGGAGAAAGGTAGAGTCAGGACCAGGCCAAATGCTGATGTATTAACAAAGCACTATGGGAAATGAATATTCATGTAGTAACTGACTTGGCACAAAATTCTATGACTGTTTATAGTACATTCAGTTAAAAAAGAAGAAATAGAATAGAATAGGGCAGCAGGCCCACAGTTTTCTAGTCACTTTACTACTATCACATTGTGTGTATACAGAAAGACGTCAGACTCATCCTGTCATGGATTCACTTTCTTGCATTTACTCGTGGTTTCTAAGACAGTATTTTTTCACCCAGCTGAATCAGACCTCAAGATATTCTGCATCTCAGCTGGTCAAGATGCAAAAGGAAGAAATCAGAACCACTTACAAGTTTTTATTTTGTAAATTGGCCCTTTAAGTCTCTAAGAGAACGTTCTTGTGAGATTCTGACCCTGGGGATTAGCGACAGGACATTTAACAACATTTGTACTGTTGTTTCTGCAGCCCCTTTTAAAGAAACCATTTTTTTAAACTGCAAATTAGTTTTCTCTGCCTACACACTTTATTAGTGATGGACTGAAGGAGGCAAGGAAATATTTCATTATTTTCTGACTTGGTTCAGTGTATCATACCACATTCCCAGTTCACAAAAGTACGAGTCTGTGGATCTTAGTGCTCGCATGGAGCTCAATGTCCTATATAATGCAGGAGGTAACAAACTTCTAGATATAAAAGCAGTGCTCTCCAGAAAAAATGTTCTGACCGGGAGAGAATATGCAGGTTTCTGAGTCCCAGCTGAGCTCTAGGAATAAGTTGCAATGAGCCATTGCCCTTGCTAAAAGTTGAATCACCACCAGGACCTAGGTGAACAGAAATGGACAGAGCCTTCTACATACTTGAAAAGTAATCCTCTGGCCTTGAAAAAAAGTTGCATACTTATGAGTCATTCTCATACATAGCTACAAGAAAATAAATGGCTTTTTTCCTTATTTACTCTAAAAACTAGTTTAAGAAGTGAGGGTACTATGACGTTAACTAGGAGGTGCAGGGAAGGGAAAATGGGATAGCATTTCGTAGCAAAGCCCACTAATTTTCAGGTTAGGAACATGCTAAACTGGTTAACTCTACACCACAAGGTACTTTATAATACATGACGTGACTAGAAACTAACCAGCATAAATCTGAGCTTAGAATTAAGTACAACTGCATATGGTGAATCTTAAAAGTATGTTTTAAAACAGATTTAACCAAAGCATACGGCACAAATACTCTTATAACAGCCATATCATGACCACCAACTAAGAGTTTTTTGTTTCTAATTGGTCTGTCATATGCCAATCTTTGTAAAGAGTTATTAGATGACTTGAATAGAAAACAAAGACATTTTCTTGTGGGAGACACAGCTAAAGCCACGTATGCCTTTGAGCAGTTGGTAAAAATCATGCCAATCTGCCAGGCTGCTGCTTGCTTCTTAACTATAAGCTTCATGGCTCTGTGAAAGATTTTCTAAGGATGCTGACCTAGAATTTAAGTTCTCAAACACCTATGACGTGACTCTGGTCTCTTCCCAAAAGATGCACCTTTTAGCAGGCCCAAGATAATGGAAACGAGCGATAGGATTCCAGGGATTCGAGAATGGTGGTAGAAGACTCTTTAAGAGAATGCAACGCTAAAGAATTCATACCTGTAGTCTTGTAGCCTGCAGAGAACCAGGGCTGAGTCAAGTTCTGCGGGTGGGTGGGCTTGGAATTCAGGAGAGCAGGGTTTCTCAACCTCAGCGCTACTGACATTTGGGGTTGAATCATTCTCTGTCTGTGTGTGTCGGTGGGGGGGGGGTCCTGTGCACACCAGATGTTTACAGCATCCCTGGCTTCTACCTACTGGATCCCAGTAGCACACCACCACCCCCAGTTGTGACAATCAAATATGTCTCTGGCCACTGCCAAATGTCCCCAGAAGGCAAAACTGGCCCTGGTTGAGAATCGCTGCTGTAGAGATAACTCACTTGAGCCCCTCAGCATGGAGCACTTGTCTTGGGCTCTGGAGAGGCTAAACCTCTGACTGAGACCAAACAAGGTTCAGTAAAAGTTCATTCAGTACTTCTGAGAAGAATAACAAGGATGGCAGTAAAGCAAAGGTAGAAAAACAGCAAAGCAGTTTCTTTGCAAAAGATCAGTGACACTTTCATAAAATAAAGCAATTCATAAGACTTCATTTGACCTTTTAATCTTTTAGGAAGTTAGGGCAGATAATAGAACATGGATGCCATAAACTTCCCTTCCTAAAGAAAATGCAGACTTTTGAGACTTGTAAGTCCTTAATCTCATCACAGATGGCAATCTTTGTGAGGCCAATAATTCATCAACTGGAGGAAAATGAGTTAAAAGCTAAGAGAGGGCCCATTAGATTTGAGAGAAAACTTTATAATTCCCCTCTGCAAGCAGGAAGAGAATCATGCATGCTAGAAATGTGGATTGGAGTTCACTTACAGCTTACTGAGGTTAATGAAAGTCAGAATGGACAAAAGCTGAGAAGAGGATAAAAGAGCTACCTCAAAAACACTAGTTGAAAACATTGTAGATATTTTCTGGCTCAAATCTGGGAATGTACGAAAAGTATGTATTGACTCTTCATCAGTTAGGTTTACTTTGCTCTAGGTAGAAGGCAATTATTCTAGCCCTTCTTTGAAGAACCATCAGAATATAAATGTTCTGCAAACATCTGAGATCCCAGTGTTAGCAAGGATGAAAACATGGGAAACCAGCCCCTAGGTGACAACGAGCCTCAAATGCCACAGCATGGCAATGTGACTGCGCAGTTTCTAAGCGCACAGCACAGTGAGAAGTCTTTCCAGAGGAAAAAATGGAGTTTCTGGTTTGCAAGGGGGATACAAGGTACAGATCGAGTTTAAAAAAGAAGAGTTACACACCCTTTTAGAGTCATTAGTATCCAGGCAAAAACGGCTAAGGGTCCACGTCACTATATAACTGAGCAGCTGCCTGGAAAAAGCCAGAATTCAGAGCTACTCAGACAGCACTGAACTGGTGAAAGCAGTCAGATATAAAAAGAATCGAAGAGCATGCAAACTATTGGTTAGAATCAAATTGTTTCAATGATAGTACCCAGTTGAGTTTCATTTTAGTGCCTATTACACTTATTAAAATTAAATTAAAAGCACCTTAAAATGACCTCTATATATAATCAATACGTATCATTATAGTAGTTATATAAAAATGCAATATGCACACAGTTTAAGCTTCAAAGAAACTAAGACCTTTTTCTTTATAATTTTCATAATCATCAGAGCTATGATTCTTAACATCTTAGGGGAGGGGGAACAGTAACTCAGCACATTTCGATTATAGCTGACTTGATTCAGGGGCTGATACTCTCACAATCCTGGGGCAAGTAATAAATATTGACAATATCTCTTTGAGGGGTGGGAGGGGATCTTTAAAAATATTATTGCTAAGAGACTATTTCCGAAAATCTAATACACTTGATGAATGACAGTGTTGAGGGGATTTCTGTCAAGGATGGCCCAGGGACATGGGGCTATGCCCCTTTTGGATAAAGGCCTTGATGATACTTGGGAATAATTTGGGAGTTGAAGGAGATCAAAGGAGGGAAAGATAAGTCCTATTCTGGCCACATGTGTTCGTGTGTCTACTGATGTACATGATAACCTTGTTATAAATGGACCATCCCAGGAAGATGAGTACAGCCATTTTCTCTACATCTGGAATTGCTTCAGGAGCCTTCTAAATATACTGGAAAGAGCAATAACAAAAAAAACCATTTAGAAACCGAAGTGCCACACAGTATCTCCCATCCTACCAGCCGCAAGTCTCCAGTACAGCACGCGGGATTCAGGAGCATAGAGCTGGTTTGCAAGATCTGCAGATCGATACCTCTAACAACCTCACAACTAGGAATGTTCACTGGCAAATCTTTGGTCTACGCTCTGCACTAATGGAAGTAGAAGAGTACATTTTCTCTACAAAGTCCCATGAGTAACCCTGGATCTGTTCTCCCCTCAGGTGCAAGGAACGTCCCTGAACATGAACAGGAGCCAAGTGTGTGAGGACAGAGATAGGCCTGCTGGAGTTCTTACTGGCCTAGCCAACTTTCTTCCCCTGCAGGTTCAGGAGGAGCTGCTGCATCTCATCTGCTACCAAGGATCGTGTCTAAAAGCTGCTGCTGGGGTCTCAAAGTTGAGCAAGCTTCCTACCATCACACTCCCGTGCAGCCACAATTTCAACTCCCTTGATTAGAAGTATAATACTCACTTCATATCACAAATGTATAAAAATATGGCAGATAGTGTCATAACGATACTTCCTTAAATGATTATATTTATAAAACAGACATATTTATCATATATATATTTATATATAGAATAAAATACTCCTGATGCAATATATAAATGTTACTGTTTAGTTTTTATAGAAACTACTGTAGCTGTCCCACTGCTTCACAATGTTCCAAACAGCTCAAAGTAACTTTACATTTAACAGAAAAGGAATGATTATAACAGTACAATATTAATTAA